AGCGACTGAGTTTCCTGCAGCCCTCCCAGCCGCGCCTCGCTCTGCATGGGGGGGAAATTCCGGACATTTTTAGCGATTTACAAATTCCCCCCCGGACGCTATTTTTAACACAAAAAGGAGGACATGTCCGGGTAAATCCGGACGAATGGTAACCCTAGCACAAGCATCAATTCACCCCTGGTGACAGTTCTCGCCTGCATCCTGGTGTATGTTGTGCAATGTGCAGCACCCCCCAGGAACAAGCGATTGTTTTGTAAGTAGCACTCTCTTGCCTTCAGCCTGCCCCAGGCACACTCCCCCACTATTCGGCAATTGCTCTGGGGGTGACTGAGCTTTCTGCTGCCAGGTGCTCTCTCATCAGGGTTCAGCTTCATAAACCAGGGCAGGGGGTGGGCCTGGCCACCCACACAACAGTGGTCACAGATACCCCATTGATAGCCATAACGTGAGGGGACAAAAGCCCCTTCTTGTCCAAACAGGTAAATGCCAGATCTCTGGAATGCTCTGGCACCATGCGCCTGGCCAGTGCATCCCATGCTGTGTCCATGAAGCCCCCTCTGTGGTTGACCAAAGGCTATGTAACAAGGGTGCAGTATCATTTCCAGATTCCATATTCCTGTGCCCCTTGTGCTAGGCAGACCATGGGAACAGGAGTGCCAGCAAAGGCCTCTACACCAAGGGTAGTCAATAGGTGGACCCTAGGCCAAATCCGGACTACCAGACGCTTTTGAATGGACCCTGAAATCTTTCTACTTATTATCATTATTGTTATTATTTTTTTAAATTTTCTCTGGAGTGTGGACCTTGACTATACCTTGACCAAGAAATTTGGACCTTGACAAAAAATAATTGACTACCCATGCCCTACATGGCTCGGGAAGGCCATCTGCTCAAAGCCAGTATTTCAGGGTCCTTAGTAACCACCACCACCTAAGTTCCCCCTAAGTTGCGCAGCAGCGTGGCCACATAGCTCCTTTTTAAGCCCTGCACAGGGGCTCAGGGCTGCGACGGGGAGAGATCCCTCCCTGCCGGCCCCAGCGTGGACTTGCCGCAGCCAGAGGAGAGGCGCCCGTTCCCATCAGCCCCAAACTTGCTGCGGCCAGGGGAGAGACGCCTCTCCCCGCCGGCCCCAGCATGGACATGCCCTGGACTTGCCGCGGCCGGGGGAGAGGCACCCCTCCCCTGGCCCCAACATGGACCTGCCCCAGACTTGCCGCGGCTGGGGGAGAGGAGCCCCTCCCTCAGCCCGGCCCAGGCCCACCAGAACTGCTGCAACTGGGGAGAGGTGCCTCTTCCCCCACCCCAAGCTTCTGCAGTGAGAGAGGGCTGGAGGGAGTCCTCTCTCCACACTGCAGCTGTGGGGCAGCCTGCACCCCCAAACCCCTCATCCCTGGCCCCACCCCAGAGCCCGGACCTCCAAACCCCTCATCCCCAGCCCCACCCCAACCTTCTGCCCCCTCACGCACCTTGAATCCCCCACCCCACCCCAGAGCATTCACCCCTAGCAGAGCTCACCCCCTGCACCCAACACTCTGCCCCAGCCCTGAGCCCCCACCTGCACCCCAAACCCCTCATCCCCATCCCCACCCCAGAGACCGCATCCCCAGCCAGATCCCTCATTTCCCTCAACCCCAATCCTCTGCCCCAACCCTTAGCCCGCTCCCAAACTCCAAACCCCTCGGCCCCACCCCCACCACATGAATTTTGTTGTGTCACACATCACCTCCATATTGGTGCACATAACAAAATTAATTCCATGGACGTAAAAAATTAGAGGGAACACTGGCCACCATCTGTGGGCAAACCAGAGGAATAATCAATCACCTGCCAAACCTCCATCACCACAACACTAATGCTTGGCTTGTCACCACCAAACTGACCAGCCACCAACCTGCAGCAGTCTGGGGAAGTCAGCTTCCATATGGCAACATCAACCCATTTCTGGATTCGTATGGCCTCCCTGCATCCTGGGGCTCAAGGCTCGGGCAAGCTCCTCACATGGCTACTGTTTACTGACTTGGTGGGCTAAAAGCACTTCCACATACAGGCTGAGGACAGACAAGTTCTCCCACAATACATTACAAAACAGTTCAGAGAGTGGCTTGGTTTAAAAATTGCCGGTTATGGGGAATCTGCCACAATCGTTGGCTGTTAAAAATGTGTGCCTTATTTCCAGTCTGAATTTGTCTGGCTCCAAATTCCAAAGATTGGATCTTGTTGGACCTTTGCCTGCTAGATTGAAGAGCCCATTATAAAATTGCTACTTTGAAGTAGGTACTTAGAAACTATGATCAAGTCACCCCTTAACCTTCTCTTTGCTAAGCTAAATAGACAAAGCTCCTTAAGTCACACTGTAAGGCAGTTTTTCCAATCCTTTCATCATTCTGGCAGCTCTTCTCTGAATCTCTCCAATGTTTCTACATGCTCTTGAACTGTGGGCACCAGAACTGGACACAGGATTCCAGCAGCAGTCACACCAGTGCCAAACACAGAGGTGAAATAACCTCTCTGCTCCTACTCAAGGTTCCCCTGTTTATACATTCAAAGATCACATTAGCCCCCCCTGCTGGGATAGCGCTACGGGGCCCTGGGTCTTTACTACCGACTGATGTGTCAGCCAGGGCTTTTCACTGCGCCCCACGAACTCCCCCTCTCCCCCGAAGCTCAGTCTGAAGGCCCTGCGGGGCTGGAGCCTGAGAGCAGTGAGCGCGGACGAAGGGGTGAAGGCCAGAGCAATTAGCGCTGAGCACCTGTCCTGTCCGCGCGCGCAGGAGTAAAATCGGATCCGCGGGGCAAAAGGCCAGACAGCGCCCGCGGGTATCGAACCCCCGGAGGGGCTGGGTTTTCAATGAATTGAAGTCACGAAGGAACCGCTGAGCTAAAGCCGGCCCGAAAGCATTTCCTCTCCGAGAGCTCTAAGAGTTCTCAGTGGGGCGGGGCCATGCAAATGACTAAAGCGAGAGATTGAACGTTATAGGGTCCTGGAAGGGGAAAGGCCAACCCAGCGCCTACCGCAAGCGCCTGGCTATGACCGATCCGTACCAAGATGGCAACGTCTAGAGAGGTGAGCACGAGCCAAATTAATGCAGATTGCCCAGACCGCTTCTAATGTGCGGAATCGGATTTTTATATAAGCCGCGGGCTCTTGGGCTTGTTTATTGGAGTCTCGCTTTACTTCGGGCTTTGGGGGTTGGGTGGGGGTGACGTCGGAGGTTTTCTTTATTATGCGCCTTGCAGGGCCCGGGCGGCTGAGGAGGCGGGGTTTGGACGCCAGGGCGATGCCCCTTTGCCTGGGAAGCTCAGTAGCAGACAGTCCTCCAGCCTCCTCGGAACCTGCATGGCGCAGAGAAAAGCCCCGCGCGGTGGGGGGAGGCGCGTGGCGTGTCCCGGTGTCTGCGGCTCTGAGCTTCCCGCAGTTACAAACGGCTGTGGGACGGTGAGGGGAGGGCTAGCGGTGCAGTCCCAGCCCAGGGGCCAAAGCCCCGTCCCCAGAGTGGGATGCTGCAGCAGGGAAATAGTGCGTGGAAGCCCTTCCTTGCAGGGTGGGTGGAGGCCAGATGTTGCATGCAAGTCCCACTCCCCTACCCTGAGTGCCTTGTGTGGGTCGGGGGCCAGATGCTGCATGCGGGTCCCACTCCCCTACCTTTTTATTTCTAGTTCTACTCCTACTCTTGCTGCATACAGCATTGTTACACATTACATTACTACTAAAAAAATATGGAATGTTTATAAACACCCCCACTCCCCTCTCTCTGAAATGGGTAGGTCTTGATTTAAAAGGCAGTGCCATTTTGGGGGGGGGGGGGGAGGTGAGACTTGGCAACGCTCCCCTTCTCCCGCTCCACTCCCGTCAGGACCCAAGCCCCGGCTGCAGCCCTATGCAACACTGTGGGGGGGGACGACACCTCCTTTGCCTCCCTGGCCCCTCTGCTCCCCCAGCTGCCTTGCGGTGCCCCCTCAATCCCTTGCTTTGCTCCTCTTCCTCCCCCATTCCTTGCCTCCCCTCACTGGGTCCCTCTGCTCCCTGGCACCATTTGGTGGGCACTTGCCCTCCCCATTTTCCTTCCACATTGTAATTTGGCAAACCGTACACCTATCTAAAATGTGAGGTTTGTGCCATCATGTTTATTTTGCCTCTTTTCCCAGCCTGTTCCTACAAATCCTGCAATCCACAACCACCTCCTTCACTTCAGCAGAAAGTTTCTTAGCTCACGGTGCCAGTTCTTACGTCGAAAGAGTCCTGTGTCTACACTGGAGGGTGGAAAAATTCCCCTTTTCTGATGTGGTTTTCCCTTCTCTCTGGTAAGTATTTTTTAAAACTGCGTTTGTCATTATTTGGCCTCTTATTTTACTTCAATTACAAAAATCGTCCATTTAAGTTGCTTACAGCATAAATTCCGCCACTTCAGTATGCGCTAAAGCTCATGGACAGGCTCCAGGTAGAGTCTGCTTCATTTTATAATATAGTACCTTGTTTATTTGAACTACATCAAAGCGTAAAAGCAACTTCTCTGAACTCGTAATAATCTTATGTTCTAATGTAGCTGAAGTTCTTACAAAGTTAATGCTTGTTGCCCTTACAGCCTGAAAACACACACATAATAATAGACCAGGGATTTTTAAAAAGTATTATTATAGTTTTTAACTAGTTTAGGGGATTATATTGTTGTTTTTATTACTTGGTACTGCCTGTCGAAATGTGTAATGCACATATATTCTCTAACTTTATTCTTTCCAAGTTCATTAAGGATTACAGTGCTATTATTTTAGGTTTTTGACTGGTCTGTGCATTTCATAATTTTTTCTCTCATGTTTACATTTAATTCTTTGAGTAGTAAGTTCTAAAATGCCTGACCTGTCCTGGCTGGAGTAATTATTATAAATTATTACCATATTGTGCTTTGTCATTCATTGATTGTACCACTTTAAATAAATAATAGTATCCTTCTAGAATGTAAATTTAGCTTGTACTCACCTTAGCAGTGCCAGTTTCATGGGGGATGATGGTGGGGGTGAAGGAACTATGGAATATGGATGTGTCATTAACATTAGCTAAACATCAACAGAGGGTCCTGTGGCACCTTTAAGACTAACAGAAGTATTGGGAGCATACACTTTCGTGGGTAAGAACCTCACTTCTTCAGACTTGCATCTGAAGAAGTGAGATTCTTACCCACGAAAGCGTATGCTCCCATACGCTTTTGTGGGTAAGAACCTCACTTCTTCAGACTTGCATCTGAAGAAGTGAGATTCTTACCCACGAAAGCGTATGCTCCCAATACTTTTGTTAGTCTTAAAGGTGCCACAGGACCCTCTGTTGCTTTTTACAGATTCAGACTAACACAGCTACCCCTCTGATAATTAGCTAAACATACAACTTTCGACACTGTGCAGATGAAGGTCACTTATTTTCAAATTGTATTTTTAGTTATATGATTTTAATTATATATTCGTATGAAAATAAATGCAGTTCCAAATCTGATACTAATAGTAATGGAGTCAGATGTTAGTGAGTTACATACATGATTGTGATCGATAAGCATAATTTCCAAAATAATTAGAAAAATAAATTCCCATTCTTAATACAAGAAAAAAGTAATAATGTATATTAAAATTAAATAAGTTTTTAGTGGAGTGAAAAACAATCGCCTAAATAGAGAAATGGCAGTAACACAAAGTGTTAGAGAGAGAGAGAGTCAGAGTTATTGCTTCAGTGTGTGATAGACTGATCCCTGAAGCATACCTCCATGCAGAGTTCCTTGTTGAATTCTGCTCATATACACAAATGTCTCTTCTCTTCTCTTTCTGGATTAACTAGTGTGTTGAGCAGACGATTGTCATGCTTTATACAGCTTTTCATTTCACTGACCATTTTTTTCTTTGGTATCTTCAGTTTCATTTTGCAGAATGATTTGTCTTCACCAATAACACGCTCTCTAACATCTGGTTCACTTGCACTACTATAAACCAAATCAGAGTGGAAGTAGCAATAATTTCCAAACCTTCCATATAATGGGGGGGGGGGGGAAGATGGAGAAAAAAGTAAAACAAAAAACCAACCTGTTTTTATTTTTGCTTCATATTTTTTGCTTCATTAATTGCAAAAGTATTCACTGCCATATTGAAAGGCATTGCAGGCATTGCCTTTGAAAAATATTTAATATAATACAAATAAAGTAATAAAATAACATTGACACTGTTCTTATTATATTTTGTTTTATGCATAAAAGTTGATTTTTTTCCAGAGTACAATGATACTTGTACCAGCACAGCAGCAGAATATTGTATCATTTTTAAAAAGAAAGGCCCCGACAACGAAAATTGTGACAATAAAGAACCATCCTTGAAAATGAACTGTGTAAATGCTTCCTCAAGTAACATTGTCTTGCAGTCAACACAGAAAAACAGACTGGATAATGATCCTTGTGCCAGTACAGTAACTCCTCGCTTGACGTTGTAGTTATGTTCCTGAAAAATGCGACTTTAAGCGAAACGATGTTAAGCGAATCCAATTTCCCCATAAGAATTAATGTAAATGTGGGGGGTGGGTTAGGTTCCAGGGAAATTTTTTTCACCAGACAAAAAAGCTATATATTATATAGATATACAGACAGTATACGTTTTAAACACAATTTAATACTGTTCACAGCTATGATGATTGTGCAGCTTGGTTGAAGTGGTGAAGTTAGAGGGTAGAAGAGCGAGGGATATTTCTAGGGAATGCCTTGCTGCGAAATGATGAACTAACACTCGGCTGAGCCCACAAGGGTTAACACATTGTTGTTACTGTAGCCTCTCATCAAGGCAGCATGAACAGGAGGGAGGGGAGACAGCATAGCAGACAGAGACAGACACACACCTTGTGTGTGGGGGAGAGAGAGATGCACACTGCTCCTTTAAGTAAGCTGACCCACTCTTCAGTGCATTGTCTTTTTAAGTGGATCAGGAAGTTGAGACAGCAGCTGCTGCCCCAAGTGCTCTCTGTCTCTCTCCGTCCGTGTCCCCTCCCTGCTCTATATGGAGAAGGGGTAAGCGGGGTGGAGGAGCAGGGGGGAGGGGGACACCCTGACATTAGCCCCCTCCCTTCCTCCAGCAAGCAGGAGTCTCTGGGAGCAGCTCCAAGGCAGAGGGCAGGAGCAGCACATGGCAGCGGGGGAAGGGACAGCTGAACTGCCGATTTATAGCCTGCTGGGCGGCTGCAGCACAAGGAGCTTAGGGGAGCGGGGAGCTGATAGGGGGGCTGCCGGTCCACCCTGGTTACAAGCCTCCACCAGCTAGCTGCAACGGGCTGCTCTTCTTGCAAGCAGTGGACAAAGCAGGCGGCTGCCAAACGACGTTATAAGGGAGCATTGCACAACTTTGAACGAGCATGTTCCCCAATTTATCAGCAATGTAACAATGAAACAACGTTAACCGGGACGACTTTAAGTGAGGAGTTACTGTATATCAGTGGCCACCAATTACACATCTAAGGATGTCCTATGTGCTCTGACATCACCAGTGGGGGCAGAATGTTTTGTTAAACAGAGTTTACCTTAGGGTGACGAGATGTCCCGATTTTTATAGAGACGGTCCCGATTTTTGGGTCTTTTTCTTATATAGGCTCCTATTACTCCCCACCCCCTGTCCCGATTTTTCACATTTGCTGTCTGGTCACTCTAGTTTACCTGTTCATGACAGGAAAAACAACCTTTCTATGGCCATAGATATCCTGCTGCACAAAGAGGAACAACCAGTACAGCCTAAGATGGATACCCTTCTACAAATGGTTGACGTTTCAACTGTGGTTGGTTTTCTTTGTACCCCTCCATTGTAGAGGAGTCTGTTTTTTGCTTTCCATGCTGTCACTTTGCTTCTCAAACCACAGTTGGACCAGGAGAACAATTCAACAACAGAAGATTAATTGAGTGTGGCTTTAAGAAACGGAAAGATTTTCATAGTTTGTTAAAACAACATTCACTCAGTTCCAGGCATCAAGCAGCTTTCATTTCGTGGTAAAACTACTTGACAATTAGGATCAGCAGTTTGAAAAGTGTCGCAGATCAATTTGTTTCCAGTCATCAGGCTGTCATAGCTGAAAATTGCCAGCATATTGAAACACTTTTACAGGTCTCCATGCTCTGTGCAAAACAGGGTATTGCTTTTTGGGGGCATGATGAAACACACAACTCTAGCAATAAAGAAAATTTCATTGGAATGCTTGAGCTGGTTGCTTCTGCTCAGCCCCAGCCTTTTGAATCAACTAAGAAGCAGGTATGGACACGATACCTCTCACCAGTACCAGAACGACTTGATACATGCTGCTGCAGCAGTCCTGAGAGAAAGCGCTGCTGAAGAGGTCAGACAAGCCAAGTATTTTTCTGTCCGTGTTGATGAAACTAAAGATGCATCAAGAAAAGAACAGCTGTGTCTCCTTTTACGCTGCCATTGAAAAGGAATCCTTCAGGAAAGATCTGTGGGTTGCTTCCACATGGAAATCTAAATGCTGAATTTGTTTCAAAAAGGATTATTGAAGAGCTACAGCATTTGAAGTTTGATATTAATTACATCGTTGCCCAGTGCTCTGATGCAGCTTCTCTGCTGAGTGGGCATTTAACAGATGTACAAGCTCGCACTCAGGAAAGGATTACATTTATGTGCACTGTCATGCTCACAGGCTAAATCTTGTCATTGCAGGCACATGTTCCAGCATCACCCAATGTCAGGAAGTCTTTGCGTTTGCTCAGGACCTGTACATCTTTAGCAGTAGTTGCAGGCAACATGAACTGTTTAAGGCACAGCAGGAGCTAGGCCAGAAGGTGCTTGAGCTAGGTAGATTATGTGAAACTCGCTCATGCTGGTTTGACTCCCTCCAAAAACTGCATGCAAGATGGAAACATGGGAGCCATTTCAGTTCAGAGAGCTGATGGCCCATCGGCTAGCACTGGCGAGGGTTTGATGGCAAGGCTAAAGTGCTATTCCTTTCTATTGAGGCTCTTGGTTTCGGGAAGAATATTCAAAATCTTGAATAATATTTCAGAATTACAAAATGAAAACCTGAATTTATCTAATCCCATGAATTAGTAGCAATCAATGTTGCTGCTCTTCAAGAAATGAGAACATCTGAAAGCTAATGGAAGGAGCTATGTGATGAAGCTGAAATCATTGCCAAGGAATTTGAAATTGCTATTCCGGGTCAGGCAGTCGCAACAGCTGAGCACAGCAGTACAAAAACGGCAATAAGACCTAAAAAAAATAACTTCCAAGCTGGCCTTGTTTTTTGTTTTTAGTACACTGGTTCAGTCATCTCCACATGATGTTCCCAAGAGCACTCATGAATCTATAAAATCTGATTTTTACTATCCTGTTTTGGACAGTATTCTTGCAGAGCTCGATAGACGATGCACCTTCAACTCCAGTTTGCTTTCTGTACTAACTGCGTGTGACCCAAAGAGTGAAAATTTTCTTGCATATGAGAAACTGAAAATAATTGCAAAATAAACTGAAAACTATGGATCAACAGGCACCGATTTTTGACAGTCTGGATGCAGAAGTCGAAGTTGCTGAGAAGCACATTGCACCAAAAAATGGACTTCAATTTCTGAATTCTGGATGTTCTCAAGGACTTACCAAGGGCTTTCCAGTCTTTGCTGTCTATTGTAGATATTGTGCTGAGCCTTCTAGTGTCTGCAGCATCAAAAGGAGAGGTATTTCTCTGTGCTCAGAGAGTAAAGAACTACTTAGGATCCACAGTGGGAGACAAGCGCTTAGATGACTTGGTAATTTTAGCCTGCGAACGTGAAGCTTCAGAACACCTGGATATCAACAAGGCCATTGACCATTTTGCCAAGATGAGAAGACGGCGTTATCTATTGTGTTAGCTCCTATCTGGAGTGTTTTGTTTTGTTTTCAATAATTTATTTACCTGTAAAGAAATTAACTGTCTCATTCACCTCTTCACAAATTGGAATATAAGACATTTAAAAAACAACAATTGCAGGGGTAAACAGATTTTATTTTTATTCATTTATCTCTACTAAAGAGAGTGTACAAAGTATCAAACTTGTTTCTGATATCTGTGTTAAAGCTCCAAAACTGATACCTCAGAGTGTGGGATTGGGAATATCTTGCTGTATTATGTTCCTATTGCTCTAAATTTACATATACATCTAAAATATGGTTATAACTGATTTTTGTTAATTCCCCCTCCCCCTTTCTTTATATAGGAATTAGATACAGTGCTCCTGTCATTTAATTTCTAAGTTATCTGCAGGGAAAAAAAGCAACCCTAGCGTTTTCAGGTGCCTAAGTAGCCCCTGGAATCATGATTAAAGTTGCCCCCACACACACACACCTCTCACTGGGCCCCTCTGTCCCCAGCCAGCAGAGTGGACCTTGTGGCACTGATCTTGACACCGTGAGGTCACTGTGCGTTGCCCGGCGTTCCTGGGGCTATAGAGCGACCCATCACTGACACGTGGCCGCATCAGAGACACTCTCAGGGAAGCTGGGGGTTTGGGTGCTGTGATGGGGTGCTCGGGGTGCAGCCTGGACTGTGGGACTGCTGAGCCCTCCAAAACCCACCAGCTTGGGGTATCCCTAACATTGTGATGCTGATGTCAAGCTACAAACCTGATAGGCACTGCACTTAACCAGACATCCACAGGCAAGGACCCACCCAACTGAGTTACATGAATGATTTCCCAGCCGCTCATGAACCATCAATAGAAGGCTCCAGCCAGTTCCCTCCAGCTCCAGCCCTACACCCCAGAATTGTTCCGTCTTGCACTGGTCAGAAGCCTGAGCAGTGTAAAATTCATTTCTTAGTTTGCCACTTCTTCATAGGAAGGTGGACATGCACCAGCCTTTGTAACCTGAGCAGATTTCCCAAGCACTTTAGACAAATTCACTGGTAAGGATAAAACATTAAAATAAGTTTAACTACAGAAAGATTGATTTATAAGTGATTATACTGGTAGGCATAAAGGTCAGACAGAGTTACCTTAAGAAAGGGGGAAGGGAAAGGATGATGTCATTGTCTCTCTTAAAAGTTCTTTGTTGTGATGTGGGTTAGTCTGTCCCCACGGTGTATTTACCTTCTCAGAGAAGTGTCTGGGTAATGGAATGGCGTTGGTGAGCCATTAATGCTGTGTGGCTATTGGTGGCCACTCCTTTGTTGTAACTGAAAGGTTGGTTGTGGGTGTTCCCAACCTCACAACATATTTCAGTAACACATCTAGCAATACTTCACATACAATGAGAGCACATACACTCCAGCAGCACATTAATGTTCAACAGATCAAGACTGTTAAAATCAGGGCTGTCAAAGTCCCGGCCCGAGAACCTCCCCACTGCAGCCTGCGGAGGAGAGACGCATGCAGAGACACGGCCAGTCCCCACAGCTCCCATTGGCTGGGGGAGAGGGACAGAGATACCATCACTAGTTGCTGGACAGAGTCAGCTGTGGAGGCAGCATCATTAGTTGCCAGGCAGAGTCAGCCATGGAGGCAGCATCACTTTTTTCTATAATGAATATAAACAAGTCTAAATACCGAACACAATAATCTGATGCACACCTTACTGCAATCCTGAATGTTTCAACTGCTCAGTCACTGAGGCCAAACATCAACAAACTGACAGAACTGAAGCGTTGCCAGGTGTCTGGCAAACACTAAAAACTCTCTGGCAGGCGAAGAATTGTATAAAGTTGTTTGACAATTTTATTATTTCTAAGAAATTTGAAATAAAAAATACAATATAAACATTTTCTTTTCTGAACACCATCTTCAGTAACATTATTGGCCTGGTGGGAGGATTTGAGGACTTGCACTGGCCCTAAGGTAAATTGAGTTTGAGACCCCTGATATGATACCTCACATGGCATACTTTGTACAAAACATAATTACAGTGGTGAATATGGGGGTTCCAGCATGGTACTTGGAGGTACAGAGTGTTACAGGTGCCCAGGAGGTGGAGTGAGGCTTGGTCATTTGCATGGCCCTACTCCCCCAGCGGTCTCCTATAGCTCTTTGCTCTGGAATCCACACTTCTCCAGGGGTTTGAGCCTTGTGGTTGCCACCCAGACCCTTACCCTTGCACACACAGCGAATTCCCCCTGCCAGCCCAGGGCTGGGCCCCAGCTGCACACAGGGGATTGCCCTCTAAGGTGGAGGCAGCACAAGGAAGGCTGGGCCTGTGGCAAAGGCAGGGGCATGAGCCCTACATGCCAGTACTTTAGCCCTAGCTTTGCCCCCCTGTTGCCCTCCACAAGTGATCACACATCAGGAGTCAAGCCCTAAAAATCACAGTAGTACCTTAAAAATCATGAGCTACTAAAAATCATATTAGATTCTTATTTCCCTTTTCTTTATTGACTCTTTGGGGGTCTAATTTTCATGCTCTTTCCTCATCTTAAGGGCTAAAAGAAAGCTGAGAGTCTCATATAATCACTTGACTCCAGGAGCTGGGGCTCAAAAAAACAACAAATACAACCAGACTCAATGAAATCATAAGAAGTCACATCAGTGGGTTCCCCCAGGACATTGGGCAAATCACTGAATGTTGAAATTTGGAAGACAAATTTTTGTGCCTTGATATCTCAGTGCTTCAGTTCTATTCCTTCCAGGTTCCAATCCTTCCCAGACTGGCTCTCATCTACCCCCTCCTTCACTTCAGATTCCAGAACTCTCAGGGATGAGTTCCTGGGCATACTCTGGCCTTGTAACCCTGTAAAAAGCCTTGGCTGTCCAGGCTTCTTAGCATTAACATTTCTTAACACATCAGTACTCTAGTTATGGCAGATGAGACTCTAGCGCTATCCCAGAAGATGGACAAGCTTCACTCTCCCCCTCCTTAGTTTAATGAGCTTTTGAAAGGCTGGGATGTTCTTTTGTAGTAGATTTAGAAGCAGAACCCAGGTTTGTGATAAGAAAGAAGCAAGTCTTAGCTATATTGCTACACAGGCCCTCTGAAGGCATGTGCCCAATGTATGTGTGTGGTTGAGCAGTATGTCTGTAAAACAGACCTGATTGCACATACCCATTTTTACAAGGCCCTGGGAGCCACACAAATAAATTTTGTTTCATTAAATGAGGTAAGTGGAGCTAGAATGGTTGGCTCTGCCTTTCAAGCAGTGTTCTGCTACCCTACAGGGCTGTGTTCTGGCCCTGATTCCCAGGTGATGCTAGGCAAGTCACCGAAAGCTGAAGCTTTGGAGACAGATGCTAGTTTTTGCCACGTGTGCTCTCTGCTTCAGTTCCCCTCCTAGTGCTCCTAGACCAGCACTTCTTCACTCACTCAGTTTCGGACATCCCGGCCTGTCTGGGGCTTCAAGTCCATGGACACATCTGGCCATTTGTATGGGAGGGTGGGGACCTGGCAAGGGGTGCAACTTCCCCCCCCCCTAGAGGAGAGTGAAGACTGATGATTAATAAGGGGCACCAAGGGCCTTTGCCAAAGACCAAACTCTCAGTGCCTGGAGTCCAAAGCCTCTTCAGCCCTAGGAAAGGGAGTGGGGTACAGCAAGCACCCACAATCCAGCTATAGCCCAGGACCCAAACTCCCCCCAGCCCCTCCTCTGCCTCCTGGTGGGAAGATTTAGGGTGGTTTGCACTGACTCAGGACTGGCCTGAGATTAAGGAAAGCACTGGAGAGGGATGGGAGCAGATAAATCAACTGAGCAGCAGAGAACTCAGGTGCAGCCTGATCTCTTCCAGGTACAAACTATGGGGTGGAGGCCCTGTGCCCACAGAGCCTCTCTCCTTCAGTGGAAGATCCAGCAATTTTCAAGGGTGCAAAAGTCTGCTAAGTCCACAGCTGGAGGAAATGGAGAGCCGGTGAACCTAACAGCACTAACAACCCCCTGGCTGGGATCTAGGGCATGGCACTAGGAGCACCAAAATTTAGTCTTCATTTGGATCTACACCTTGCTAGTGACAACCAACAGCACAGCAGCCCAGTATGCAGTGACCCCACTGAAAATAGTAGCAGAAGGCTGAGAACCACCCCACGGAAAGGGAAAGAGTTAGAAAACATGAACTACCCCCACCAAAATGGGGTCTATCCCATTTTTGGTGGGGGTAGTTCATGTTTTCTAACTCTTTTCTACGGAGTCCCTGAACTTTTAGGACCCTTCTCTTCCCTGGCAAGAAGCTCAGCTGCTTTTCATGACCCAGTAAGGGCAGCATTTCCCTTCCATTGAACACAGAGGGCACTGGGATTTTCTCTGTCCTAGTGATGGGCACCATGAAAAAGGTTCAACTGACTGCTCAGAATGTAACTGTAGCCCACGGGTCAGCAACCTTTCAGAAGTGGTGTGCCAAGAATTCATTTATTCACTCTAATTTAAGGTTTCACATGCCAGTAATACATTAACATTTTAGAAGGTCTCTTTCTATAAGTCTATAATATATAACTAAACTATTGTTGTATGTAAAATAAATAAGGTTTTAAAAATGTTTAAGAAGCTTCATTTAAAATTAAATTAAAATGCAGAGCTCCCCAGACCAGTGGCCAGGACCTGGGCAGTGAGTGCCACTGAAAATCAACTCCAGTGCTGCCTTTGGCACATGTGCCACAGGTTGCCTACCCCTGCTGTAGACCATCAGTGGCCCAGCCAGGCTAAGATTAAATACCACCACCGCTGCATTGACTCTTTGGCCACCGTAGTGAAAGCAGCATTTGCCTTGAGAGCCAGCCCCCAGCAGGGGATAAGCCCCTCCAGCCATACTCTGCCTCCTTCTTTTTGAAAGGGGTGATGTACAGTGATTGTCCACAGGAGAGAGAAAAGGGAAGCAGAAGCCTTTCAAACATCCCACAGGCAGCCCCCCCCTCCGCCCCCCACATTCTATCCATTCCAGCTGCAACCCAACAGGCCAAGGCCAAAGTGACACACACAGAGTTAGCGCAATTTTATTGCATCGACAAGGATTACAAATCACATGACACAGCAGCAGAGACTCTGGAAGAAGGGGCACAGTCTAGATGCACAGT